GAGCCGAGCCACAAACTTAAACATGCTCTGTTTACTAGCAGCGGCGAATGGTAGTGAGGATCATTAATTGTACATGACTGACAGTAGTGATGACTCTGCAGATGATAGTTTAGAGCGTTTACATGAACCCAGCAGTAATGAGTTCTTGGGAATTGAGGATGAATAACATTTATTTGATTGTTTTATATTTTTACATACATATTTTCTATAATTTTTAATTCATTTTTACGAAAATAAAACCACCTTTGAACAATGAAAGATTTATAGTATATTTACTAACCACCAACTAGTATGTCATTGCCATACAAACAAAATCGGACGAGTGATTAATGTAAACAATACGTGGCGCCTGTATGTGAGGAACGCATGGTGAATGTGATGTATGAGAATAACATTTTTTATTTCCAATATTAGAGTGCGTCTTCCAAGACGCAGCGTCTTGTAAGCCGGAAAATACGGTATTTAAGAGTTATTAGGTAAATGGAAGTAAGAGACAAGGGATATATCTTCTTTTTATGTACCGTGTCCCCTCAGGGCGTAGGCAATCGTGGCTCTCCCCTATTTCCTGTCATTTGTAGCTCTTAATAGATTTTGTTTTTCAGCTATTTCGTCTAAAATCTGTTCCAACATTCCATTCACTCAACCTTTCTTAGTAAGTTATACATTGTTTTCCCTGTCCTTCTTGCCTTCATTCTATCCTCTGAGCATCAGATTTTCCAAGCCCTCTTTCCTCATTATGTGTCCCCAAAACCTCAACTGTTTCTTCCTGATGTTGAGCATAAGTTTCTTTCTTGTTTCCATTTTCTCTAAAACTTTGTCGTTGTCTCATGTTCGGTCCATCCTTCTGTAGTTGTCTCATGTTCCGTCAGCATCCTTCTGTAGAACTACATATCTGTTGCTGTGAGTTTGTCCTTCATCTTTGAGGAGATCAGTCAGCACTCACTGCCATACAGGAGGACAGATATCACATAACACTTTAGTACGCTTTCCCTTGAAATCACGGAAATACGACAGAAGACGATAAGCACTAACATCCTAGCGAAGAAAATAAGTAGATATTGAAAACAAAATACTCAGTGATTTTTATAAAAGATTATAACACACGTTTCCATTGCACGCAGGAGCCGTAATGATTTTGTTAAGTCAAAGGTGAACCACTCCGCTATCTTCCCCCAAAAAACGCATAGCACTTCACAGATAATAATGAAAATGATTCTACGGAAACCCACGATCAACTATATCCGGATGGGATATGACATAAAAAGCAAAAACGAGTATGAATTTATAACACATATTTCCCTTGCACATAGGAATCGAAATTATTATCGGCTTTGAAAGTTGTCGATAATTGTATATCAATTTCGCATTAACGTCGGATGATTCCAACTCTCCCAGAACGCTTCTCCTCATGTCCAATGATTTTGATCATGGCAACCCCCCCCCCGACATTCGGGCAACCCAGTTAAGTATGTCACTCAAGCGGTCTTTCAGACAAGAGGTTTTATGAAGTATTTAATCTCGAACTCTTTCTACTCTTTGGCATCGTTCCTGATATTAAAGAGTTATTTTGAAAGACATCTTTTCGATGAAAAAAAAAAAAAAAAAAAAATGGGAAGCATTTTCTTGCTATCATGCGTTATCTGCATGATAACAAAATGTAAATGTTTCTTGTTATACATTGGAACAAAGTAAGTGGAAGTGGTGCAACCTTTTGTATAAAGTAAAGGGGTGTGGCAGTGAATACAAAAAAGAAAATAGCTAACAACAAGCAGGAATGGGAATTAAACCGGCAATGCTGAGTGAATTGTGCTGTTAAACGTGATCGTACACGTGAATTATCTATCTATCTATCTATCTATCTATCTATCTATCTATCTATTAGGTAAACTAGATAGATAGATAGATCATAACTTTTTCATAGGCACTATCTAGATACCTAAGAGATCGATAGATAGATCACACATCTACCTACCTACCTACCTACCTACCTACCTACCTATCTATCTCTTGGGTATCTAGATAGCGATTATGAAAAGTTATGATCTATCTATCTATCTATCTATCTATCTATCTATCTATCTATCTCTTAGGTATCTAGATAGTGATTATGAAAAAGTTATGATCTATCTATCTATCTATCTATCTATCTATCTATCTATCTATCTATCTATCTAGTTAGCTAGCTAGCTAGCTATTAGGTAAACTAGATAGATAGTGACTTTGAAAAAGGTATGCCTGATTGATTGATCTATCTATTAGGTAAAATAGATATACAGATAGTGACTATGAAAGAGGTATGATTGATCTATCTATCTATCTATCTATCTATCTATCTATCTATTAGGTATCTAGACAGTGACTATGCAAAAAGTATGATTGATTGATTGATCTATCTATCTATCTATCTATCTATCTATCTATCTATCTATCTATCTATCTATTGGAATGTAGACTTTGAAAGAGGTGTTATCTATCTATCTATCTATCTATCTATCTATCTATCTATCTATGAAGGATGTTTGCAAAGTAAGTTATAAACAATCGAGAATCCAACGTGTTGCTTTGTAAATAAAAATTTGTGCAGATGTTACCAGCTCGACTACGCTACTTTTCCATTGAAAGTGATTCACTTGTCCCATCGGTGCGCGAAAACTACATACACTTCTGAATAAATACGTGGCGTCAAATGACTTGAGTCACCCTTGAACCACCGCAGCAATAGAGTCATCTGTGTGAAACCGCTCATCAGATAAATATAGTTTGAAGGCCACAAAGAAATACTAATTCTAAGTTTGATCTCCCTCCCGGCAACGCCCCAGATGAAGTATTCCAGGGTATTAAAATCTGGAGAGCTCCATCCTGTGGTACGAACAGCCCCTCGATCCAGGATTAGACTATGTCTAGATGTAGGCTGTGGCATTAACCCCCAGGCAAAGTGAGAAGACATGAGCCAGCCTGACATGACCCACGTTGCTCTCGACCAACGAGCCATCACAGACGACATGAATTTGGCGTGCATCATCGTGTATGCCTCTATAGGGTCCGCCTAGAATCAGTTGATCTTTTTCCTGTTCACTTGACCATTTTTAAGAAGCTGACTTTCATGACACTGTGGTTGGCGACACGGTTCGCATTTTCATTATCCGAGTCAGACTGGAAACTACCATATTGTCATTCATTAAACTTAACATACTTAGGCGCAAGGTCGCGAGTAGGGTACACCTAGTGAGGACTGAACTCATTACTCAGTATTAATGATCATCAAGCCTAAACTAGATTGCTAAGGGGCCCTTGAATATTAATACACTTGATAGGTCCGTAGGGAGAAATGGAAATCTGAAGAGATGACCAAATATCAGGATGTTTTAGAGGTGCATTTTAGTGGAACTGAGAACTTTTCCCTCACCCCTCGTATATATATATATATATATATATATATATATATATAAAGAAATGTATATTTTATTTATTAATCCGACAGATTTTTATTACTTAAACGTTATTTTTAGTGGATACTTGTATTTGAGTAGACGTTATGCTTATTTATTAAACCGTATATTTATTTATTTTCACCTACCGGCCTGAATATTCGAAAAATCCTCTTAGAGACCGCATATTTTTATTTCTAAAGATTTCTTGAATATTCAGGGCGGTAGATGGAAATAAATAAACATACTGTTTAATAAATAAATAGAACATCTACTCAAATATGACTATCCACTAAAAATAACATTTAAGTAATAATATATATATATATTTTTCCAATGAATTAATGAATCTATTTTCATCCGACATTTTTATTACTTTTAACGTTTTAAAGTGGATACTTCGTATCTGAAGTAAACGTCATATTTATTTATTAAATGACATATTATGCCTATCGGCCTGTGCATATGGAAACCGCATTTTCATTGCTGAGATTTATCGAATGCGCAGTTCGATAGACGTAATACACACTGTTTAATAAATTTGTGGCTTCTATTTCAAATACGAAGTAGCCACTAAAATAACGTTTGAAGTAATATATATACATATGTGTTTGTGTGTGTGAGAGAGAGACAGACAGAACGAGAGAGAGAGAAAGATTGAGAGAGAGAGAGCACTCTTTCCCTATGAATATAGCAAAGTTTAAACAATATAATATGTGAGTGTGGCGTGCGTGTATATGTGTGTGTCTGTATGTGTTTTATTCCTTCGCGTCGTATCCATTTTTATTATTTGTTGTCGAAGTTTATCTGCCAATTAATATATCTTCTCAGAATTAGAATAAATATGCAAAACAAAATTGCAGACGGACAAATGCCAGAAAACACACACACACACACACACACACACACACACACACACACACACACACACACAGTTGGCAGCTGGAGGCTGAGTAATTTTGCAGGTTAACATCTTCTGTTTGACTTTGTCTAAATCGACGAAGGGCAATCAAGATATCTGTAAAGAATGAATAAAAGTGTCTCACCGTTATAGATGCTCGTCCACCCACGAAGGTGATTGGATTTGAAACGTGTATCTCCAAACAATCTCTGTTTGTCGTCAATTTGTTCCTGCTGAGACGATTAAAGTAGAAAAGTTATATATTTGCCGAGCTCCTTGGCTTCGACACTCCATGTCCACTCTGAATTTGACTTAAAGATTAGAAAAAATGATGGGAATTAGTTTTTTGATATTTTGCAATATGTCAGATTTTATTATGCATTTCAAAGTTTTTATAGTAAACATTTATTTTTCGTTTTCTACGGCTTATCAATCATTTACAGGTCATTTAAAACCAGAAAGCAATTTTACAGTGTAAGAATTGTTTTTGCAGATTTAGTGCTACAAGACTTACTAATTAACCCATAAGTGGAGAGGAGAAGCGATGGATTCATGCCTTTCCCAAGAGTATTTGCGCATAAGTGAATATAACGAACCCAACAGGAACTGAAAGTAGTCTCTCCGATTAACAATTCCGTGAGATTATCCATCACACCACCGGCATATATAAGCTTACAACACCTGGTATTCCCAAATGCTCAAACATCGAGGTACTGACCAGACTCGACGTTTCTTAACTTCGGTGATCGTACGAAAATCGGTGTTTCAACGTGACGTGGCTGTAAAATTGACCTAACGATGTTGGTAACATTTAATACATCATCGAAGAATTCGGTAATAAATTTATTTCGATAGATAAAATTTTTAATATCTGCCTCAACCAAACCGAAATTACAAAATGGTTTAAATTTATCCAGACAATTTATTAAAAATTATTTTAAAATTAAATCACAAGAGGAAAGAAGTGAATGCCTAAATTACAGAGCTGTCATTTACACTTCCCCCACTTATCTTTGCTCAGTGTGCTGACACCTTGCTTCTCCTTTTTCTTTCCCCACTCCTCTCTCTTCAATAACGTAAATCCACAGGCAATTTTTTCTAGGTCAAGTAATTTAGACATACTGGTTTTCGTACGATTACTGAAGTTAAGCAACGTTGAGACTGGCCAGTACATAGATGGATGGCTGCTTGGAAATACCAGGTGCTGTAAGCGTGGAAGTGTTGGTGGTGTAATGGATAACACCTCGGAAACTGGAGATCCAAATTCCAACTCCTGTCTAGTTCGTTGTAGTCACTTATGTGCAAATAGCGTTTTGAGGAAAGTATGAATCCATCTCTTCCTCCCCACCCCAAATTCTTACAATGTAAAAAGTTTTCTGGCTTTAAATAACCTGAAAAAAATCGATAAACCGTAAAAAACAAAACAAACATCGCACATCCACGCGCACGCACACACAGGTGAACACACAGACAGACAGACAAATGATCCGATGTTAAAACGCTTATGAGAGTCGTCAACACTTATACGTTTCTATTTTTATAAAATAAACAAATTATTTTTTATATTGCATTATCAAGAAACCTCGTCAACAATGTTGATTATAAGTTGCAAAGCTTCATTATTCGTCCCTTATTTTGCTTATTGCAAATGCGAAACCTTCCGCTTACTCTTTTATATATATATATATATATATATATATATATATATATATATATATATATATATATATATATATATTAAATATTCAAAAGCCATAGATATCCGTTTAAAAGAAGACTCAAAAGTGTGTCACTAGGTTTTCCCTGTATTCTCTTCACTGACAAGTAAATCCAGTGCGCAGCAGATGGTGGTCAGTTTATTGATCTACTAGCAGTATTTAAAAAAGAAATTACTTCGACGTGGCCAAATTCAAATGACTCATATGATGAAGGCCTTTCTTGCTCGGCATTGCTGTTTGTTGCTTATTCATAAATGCTTAACTAATCAATGTTTGTGAAAGTGTTATACATTGAACCACTCATATCGATTGTCCTGACCGAGCTTCGCATAAATACATTTGATAATATACTAAATTTTACATGATGCTGCTACTGCTTTATATAACAAGACGATTGCATTTCCTTCTGGTGTATTAGATGATGGTTTAATCTTACATCTCCAAAATTTATATTGACATTAAACAGCATTCAATACACCATAATACATGTATTTTTCAACGAGTTTAATTTGCGAGAAAAAATGTATTTTAATTATTTAATCTATATAAATAAAGCGCAATATATGTGTGTCCGTTCGTTCCTCTGTTTTTCGACCTCGGAGAATCATAAACAACCTGAAGTAACAGGTAGTTAACTACTGTAGTTACACGCGATTAAAAATTTAATAAATAAATCATTTAAAGTTAAATTTAAATATCGGACAGAGTGAAATTTTTAAAGAAACAATTCTTTATTAAAGGTTTAAATTTAATTTCACTTTTCGTCGCAATTGCAATCGATATTGTTTAATTAAACCGTAATTAAATCTTAAGTGGGACACGGTACGTTGCTCATATGTTTCTCTTTCTAGCACGCGGTGACGTATTCGAAACATTGCATAGTCCTGTTTACCTAATGTCTTTTAAGGGAGACTTTATGTGAAGGGATCATAAAAAATAACGAATACCAAAACTTAGAGAAACAATAACTTCTATATAAATAAAGCGCAGTGTACGTATGTCCGTCTTTCCGTTTTTCGTTCTCGGTGAATCATAAACAACCTGATGTAACAGGTAGTAACTGTTTTAGTTACACGCGATTAAAAATTAAATAAATAACTCACTTAAAGTTAAATTTAAATATCGAACAGAGTGAAAGGTTTAAAAAAACAATTCTCTATTAAAGGTTTAAATTTAATTTCACTTTTCGTCGCAACTGCAATCGATATCGTCTAATCAGACCGTAATTAAAACTTAAGCCGGGCACACTATGTTGTTCGTGTGTTTTTTTTTTCTAGCACGCGTACTGTGACGTATTCGAGATATTACATAGCTCGGGTTCCCTAATGTCTTTTATGTGAAGGGATCATAAAGAATGGTGATGTTAAAAGAAAATAAAAATTGCGCGCAAAATAAATGTAAATGAACTACGGAGATCGGTTGCGTATACGAAGAAAGATTATGCCAAATTAAGGTGACGAATAAAGATAAAATAATTTTATTATTTCTAAATTCTTATATCTTTTACGTGCATAGGACATTGAAAGTAAAATGCGTGCATAGGACATTGAAACCAAAAGCCCTCCACAGGAGCTAGTCAAAAGTCCACCCGAAGGGCGGCTTCTAGGCTAGTTTATAATAAAATTGAAAATGAAATTCATTCACAGCATAATATTTCATGATCTTACCAAGTATATATAATGCGTATAATTTTTAAAGAATAATTCCAATTAATCAGAAAAATTAAATTTGTTTCATTTTAAGAAACAAACTCGATTAACAAATAACCTGATAGAACGTAGGCGATCATGACTTTTCACAACTACCTGTTTCTTGTAGCTAGTGGCGGATTACTTGGGATTTATGTGTTTACAGCTTGTTATCTTCGAATAACGTGCTTTATCCAAATATGCACCAATTTTTGGCCTTTTAAAAATGCATGTAAACATAATTAATACAAAGATATATATTGCATGTACTGATAAAAGTCTCTTAAAATAAAATATATAATATTCAAAGGTTTCATATGTTCATATCAGAAAGTTCTCGTGTTGAACGTCTAAAGTCCTTTAGAAAATAAGATAGATAGATAGATAGATAGATAGATAGAGAGAGAGAGAGAGAGAGAGAGAGAGAGAGAGAGGAAAAGAGTCCTGGTCATTTACTCATTAAGTAGGTTATGCATTGTTTTCTCTGTCTGTCCTATGAGTATCTGATTTTCTAAGCCCTCCTTCCTCATTATATGCCACAGTAACCTTTACTGCCTCTTCCTGGTGTCCTTTTTGTTTCCATTTTCTCCAAAACTTCGTCGTTCCTCACATCTTCGGTCTACGTCATCCTCAGCATCCTTCTGTAGAATCACATTTTTGTTGCTTCAAGCTTCCTCTTCATCTTTGAGGAGATCGTCCAGCACTCACTGTCATACAGGAGGACAGATATCACGGAGCACTTTAATAATATTTTCCTTGTTTGTAGTGATATTTTTCCTTGTTTGTAGTGTTAATTTTCCTATTTCTTAGTACTCTGCTTATACTTCCTTGGCTATCCCAATACACCTTCAGATTTCAGTGTGACACTTTCCGCTCGCTGTTAAAACACATTCCAGATATTTAAATTACCTCACTTGTCTGATTTCGGTACCTCCGATTTGCATTTCGCACTTTGGGCTCATCATTTTGCTAACATCCATGCATTCTGTGATGATGTTGATGTGTTTAATCCTTTCTTCTCGCTTTCTTTCACTACCTTCTGTAGGGGCTTTTGTAGCTTTCTTTCTGTATCTGCTATCAACACTGTGACATAAGCATACCTAATGTTGTTAAGATTATAGCCACCAATAATGAATCCTGGTAAGACTTCTAGTTCTTTCAGAATTACCTCGCTGTATAGATTGAATAAGTCCGATGAGAAGACACATCCTTGTCTTACACTTCTTTCTATTCTTGTATATCTGCTGAACACATTTTTTATACGTATGCGGGTTGTTTACTCATTCTCGTTAAGTTTGTTATGCAATTTCTTCCTCCGTCCCTCTTGCTCTCGATCTGCCTCGTGAGTATCAGATTTGCTAAGCCATCCTTTCTTATTATATGTCCTAAAAACCTCAAATGTCTCTTCCTTATGTTAAATACTAGTTTTGTTTTTGTTTCCATGTTCTCTAAATCTTCGTCGTTAGTCACATGTTCGGTCCTCAGTATCCTCAGCATCCTTCTGTAGAATCACATTTCTGATGCTTCAAATCTTTTCTTCATCTTTGAGGAGATCGTCCAGCACCCAGTGCCAGACAGGAGGACAGATATCACATAGCAGTTTAGTACTTTTCCTTGTTTCTCACGAAATTTTCCTATTTCTCAGTACTCTGTATAGCTTTTAGAATCTTCCCGTGGCTATCCCAATACACCTTCAGATTTCAGTGTGACACTTTCCGCTCGCTGTTAAAACACAATCCAGCTGTTTAAATTTCCGCACTTGTTTGATTTCGGGACCCCCGATTTGCAATTTGCACTTTGGGCTCATCCTTTTGCTAACAACCATGCATTCTGTCTTCTTGCAGTTGATGTTTAATCTTTTCTTATTAAGTAAATAAGATGCATATATAAATAAACATGCACTATTTTTATTGTTATTCTGACGGGCCGAAAACCGTCAAAGGCGAAACTAAATTCACAAAAATAAACTTCCAGATAAGCATAGAGTTCAATAATTTCTTTTAATGTCAAGAAAAGAAAGCTGTAATTTACACTCATCTTAACTTTCATTAAAACTGATCCTTATTAACTCACCAATAGCATGTATCCACTTTTTTTTATATGTACATGAAGGTGATCTTATCCTTTAGTATATATTTCCGATAGTTCATATGCCAAATATTAGAACTTAATTTAAAAGTTTAAATACGATTGAAATATTTAATTTGCAACATTTGATAAACATACAACATCGTCGCCATTTTTGTTTATGAGGGGATGATGGAATGTTCTCACCTTGGTCTACTTTTAAGAGAATGTTTTGAAGGGTTTCTTGGTTGGGCTGAAAAGTTTTCAGCACTCCTCGTATATCAATTTTATAGTCGATAGATTATT